ATTCTTCTCTCCAAGTCAGACTAATATAATTTTTGAATGTATTTTAGTTTATTTTATTTTTTTTCTAGTATTCTGCTCATTCTTTGGTTGCACAGAAAAAATATGTGGATATAGTTTAACAATATAGTGCTTTTTTGTGCACTATCTTTTATTTTATTGTCTTGCAGACAACCAGTTGTCTGCAAAGTGGAAAACACCACTTTAAATCATTTGCTGTAGGTCTGCAAATTCCTTTGTGATTGCCTTTTATAGTCAGGTAATTTGTTGACTGAAGAAAGGATTGTTAATCTACAGCATGACTGAATGTGATATAAATGGAGAAAGGATTGTCCTGTCTCCTCTTCTTTCTTGTATTTATGCCTGCAATAGATTTCTTTTGCTTCTTTTGGAGAAAGTCATCTGCCTTGTACTAGCAGTTATTCCGGTGAGGAAGATGGTAATTGGTTGACTGGGTAGGTATGTCCGAGGCAGTTTTAGAGTCTGAGATCAGGCAGGAAAAGGAAAACATCTTGCCAAATTTGAAAAGAGTTCTTTTGGAAGAAACTGGTAGCTTTTGGCTTCTAGTGCTCATTTGGTTTTGTACTTTTAAAGTTCTGCTTTGAATTGACAAGAAAATCAGTCTTGCAGCCTAGCCCTTCCTGATATAATAAAATAACTCACTCTTTTCTTTTTTTTTTTTTTTAAGACAAGAGTGGAAACACTGTGCCTCCCGATTTGTAGTTAAACCTATCATCTCTGCAGTATTTGCAGGAGAGATACAGGATAGTCAAGCATTACCCTGTTTTTATGGGTGAAGCACTGTGATAGGACTTCAGATGACTATTTCACTCCTCAAATGCTGAAGGCAGATGTGACTCTGCATTAATTCTTGTGGACTGGGCAACATTTTGTGCTAAACTGTCCAGGGACAGATGAGCTGTCCTGGGAATTAGACTGGTTCCACTTGGTTCACGCCAGCCTCTCCTCGACAAACAATGCTTCCCTTGGCGCTTCAGATCCTCTTAGCTATGGGGTAGCTGAGCCAAAATAAAACCCTGATCATCCTCAAGGAGGGTGAATAGTGACTGTCCTCAGGATTCCTGCAGCCTTTCCCTGGCAGCCTTACAGCAACTGTATGAAGTATTTTGTGAATGAATTGACTGCGTCCAATAATCTCAGCCTCATACGTAGTGGGGGATTATTTTTTACATTTACAATACTACACTGCAATTAATGTGCCAAAAGATTTTGATGTAATTTATCTAGTTAAGCAAGTGCTTACTGAACTGGACTGTGTGTTATGGCAGAGTACAGTCAGTCTCAACAAGTGGCATGGAGCATGCTATGTGAAACAGCGAGAGGTTTGCACTTGCACAGGTGAACAACTGCTTTCCAGAATAGTTCAGAAAATACCAGAAAGCTCATCGTCTTTTCCTGCACTATCTTCACTTACCAGAGGGACCATTTCTTCATTGTTGTCATAGTGAGTTCAAATTGGTGATAGCTCATGACTACCAAAAGAAAAATTAAAATATTTTCAATAACTACTTCTCAAAGGGGAAAATTCCTGCACACCTAGGTATGAGACATTCCTTTAGGGAAAGCCTTAGGAAAGAAACAGTGATATAAAAAACTCATAAAAGGCCGTATCGTTAACAAAGAGAAAGAATTCAGTCCAACAAGTGGCATTCTGATCATTGCACAAGTGAGGCAGCCAAGCTGCCATACCCAGAAATAGGCTTCAAAGGATATTTTTCCCTGGAGCGTTATCAATGAAGCTCAGATCTTCAGAGGTGTAGAATTTCCACGTCCCCAAACCCCATCACACAGCCTGCCTGATGCTGCTGCCCTCTGAGATGCTGAGGGGCACAAAATCCAGCCCAGAGTCCAAAGCCAGGCAGTGAGGTTCTGTCTTTCAGACTCTGGTAATTCTTCCACTCTGAACTCTTGACTAGCAATCCTGTAAATTGACTACACTGCAGGGATGAAACCTGCTTTGTGAAACATATTCCTCTGTTTTGTTTAAAGTTGGATTTGTGCATAAGCAGCTATTTCCATAAATATGTGCCTCCTCGCCAAACTCGGTTCAATCCGTGCTCACTTCACTATCCTGCAGGAGCAGAGGAGCTTGACTTTTTTTCCCCTGTAGACTATGAGGACTCATAATTCATGAAGCTAAAACTTACATTCATCACATTATTTTTTTTTTTTTACAGATCAAGTTTACAACATGCCAAAAGTATATTTGAATATAGTTTAATGCATCAGTACTTAAACAATACCTTTTCCTGAAAATGTTCTGTTCACATCCATGCAGCTCAGATATGTCTGGAAATATGTTTCAAGTAGAGCTGATGGAAATTTCTTTTAAAAAACACGTCATGTACAAATCTCAGGATCTCCCTTGGCAGGGGTTCTATAGCCTCCTTAAAGTAATGCATTCCAGTACTTCATCCTTGTGGTTAGAAACTTTTCTTTATGTAATCTTTGCTGCAAATTAAAATGTTTACTTTGTATCCTGCCTCCACTGATCAAAGAGGAAAATTGATTTTGGATGGCTAAAAATTTGTTCTATGGTGTTGTGGTTTAACCTCAGCCAGCAGCTAAGCACCACCCAGCCACTTGCTCGCTCCTCCCCAGTGGAATGGGGGAGAGCATCGTCAGGGTAAAAGGGAGAAAACTCGTGGGTTGAGATAAAGACAATTTAATAGGTAAAGTAAAAGCTACATATGCAAGCAAAGCAAAACAAGGAATTGGTTCACTTCTTCCCATTGGCAGGCAGGTGTTCAGCCATCTTCAGGAAAGCAGGGCTCCATCACGTGTAACGGTTACTTGGGAAGACAAACACTATCACTCCAAACATAGCCCCCTTCCTCCTTCTTCCCCCAGCTTTTATTGCTGAGCGTGACATCACATGGATGGAATATCTCTTTGGTCAGTTGAGGTCAGCTGTCTGGGCTGTGCCCCCTCCCACCCTCTTGCCCACCGCAGCGACTCAGCAGGGCTCAGAGTGAAACACAGAGAAGGCGCTGACACTGCGCAAGCGCTGCTCAGCAATAGCTAAAACATTGGTGTGTTTTCAACACTGGTTTGGTCACAAGTTGAAAATACAGCACTGTGCAGGCTGCTAGGAAGAGGATTAATTCCACCCCAGTCAGACTCAGTACAAGGTCTTCCAAAACCCACCACCTTCTTCTAACCCTCTACTGAAACCATGTTTTCCAAAGCTGGGAAAAAGTGTTTTTGCTGAGGTATGACCAACAGCAACCGCAGCAGCAGGGTTTACCCCCTGTTCCTTGTTTGTAACACTCATAACAAGGTTTGGTAGCAATTCTTAATCTTTGCAGAGTTATGATTATAATGAAATAGTCCCTGTTATTTAGAATTCTGTGACATAGAATAAATTCAAACTACAGTTCTAAATGAGGGGATTCATCTCTTTCAGTCCCAATAAATCTTTGTCAACAACTCAAAAGTTATTTGGAGATTTTTTCCTTGCAGCTGTATTATATTGTTAGTTCATACACAGTTTATGAATCTGGTCCTTTTCTGCAGTAGTGCTCTCTGGACAGTTGTATCTGTCCATCTGATTTCTCTTTCTGAATTATGGCACTTCTAACTTGTTTTGGATTTCCTCAGGTTGAATTTGGACCATATGTCAAAATTATTTTGAATTCTGGTGATGTCTTCCAGGGTGCTTATACTTCCCCTCAACTTGGTGTCATTTGCTATTTAGAAATGCACTTGCTATTCCATCAGTCAATTTGTTAATGAAAAATTTGAACAGAATGGAATGTACAGTGGGGTAAGCTTTGAGGTCCTGCCCTAAAAAAAATCCACTTTGATAGTGTAGACTATTTCTTCAAAGAGCTGTGCTTCACCTGATAGGTATCTTATGTGGAAACAGAGTCTAAAGACTTAATAAAGTCAAACTGTTTCATTGCTACTATTTCCTCTTTATTCACTAAATCAGTTACCCTGTCAGAACAGATTAGGCAAGTTTTACATGATGTGTTCTTGACAAACAAATGTTGGCTGTTTCTTATCATCTTCTTATCCTCTAGTGTTTGCAAATTGATTATTTTTAGGGTGATGGTGCGCGCAAGTGCAAAATTGCAAATTGACTAGAAATTTAAATAAAAATAAAGCTGACCAACCTTTTCATTTCCCAGAATGAATGAAGTACAGAAAGATGGGCATAAAAGATGAAAATTGTATTTGATTTTCAAACTTCTTTCATTTCAAAATTCAGGATGAGGACCTTAACACAGAGAAATTAAATTTCAAGCTATGATACTGAGATGAAACTTACTCATTTGCTTAAATCAAATAATATTTTTCTGTGTATACACATAAGAGATTAAAAGCTCCATGGAGCTGCATGCATCTAACAATTTTCCTGCAAAATCCAGCCTCCAATGCCATTGCTCGTGGGGAGAATGTGAAAATTTCAAAGATAGGAATAAGATGACTTCATTTTAGAAATCACTTTCGAATTCTTAAGTTCATCTATAAAATATATATGCTGTAAGCTTAAAACTCCACTAAATACTACAGTTCTCATTTTGTTTGTTTATTTGATCTATGATATCAGAATACAAAACCTCTCTGCAGAATAATTTTATAGAAAAAGTTAAATGTTTTTATTGGTATCTGCATTGCTATTTCCACTGCTGCTAAAAAACATGTTTGGTTTTCTCCCTAGATTATCTTTTAGATTATTTTTCCACATGAACCATTTTAATTATTCCAAATAACAAGTCAGAGTCAAAGCCACTGAAAACAGTGGTATCTTGTTGAAAATTATAATTTGTATGTTATATCAATTTTCAGTTGAAACTGATTGCCCTTTAAATTGTATAGCATGTACTTTGACTCATTCAGAATGGCAGTAATTAAAGACGGTCACAGTGGATTGGAAATAAAGTATTCAGTACTACTCGTTCTTGGCTTAGCAACTCAGGTTTCTATTCTCAGGTAAACATGAGATAGACATCCCAAGTACACAAACACCTTTTAAGATGCGACTGCAAGATGGGTCTACAAAGACCGGAGGAGAGGAGGCGGAAAGAGCTGGCCTAAAAGGTAGATGAGTAAAAGCATCATGCTGCCAGCATAATCCGTATCCACATTAAGCTCACTTTGCCTGAATAACAAGATGTAATTCTGCAGATGAACATTCCTTGTGTAGGCAAGGCCTTAATTAACAGGCTGAACTAAAGAATCTTGGTTTGAAAAGATGCTCAGGGAGGGGATGAACAGACGATTGTATATTCTCACCTTAAGAAGTTAACGCTCTTTGGCTTGTCCACTGCAAATGCAAAATAATACAAAGCAGTAGAGACCATCTCCGTGAGGTGGGACTTCATACCGTTTAACTGGTCTACTGCTCCTGCATGCTGACCTCCATTGATTTGCTGAATAAGGCAAAAAAGGTTTCAGTAACTGTAAACAAAGCCCTTTACATGGAAAAAACTTCACGTATATTGCAAGTAGTTAAATTGTTTAGATATGAAGTATCCATTTTTAACTTGCTACTGCAAATGTCCTATCAAAGATACTTCTGATGTGAAGTCTGCAGGAAACTAGCAGAACAGTGTGTGCATTGAAGATGGAATAATATGGACATTATTAACGTTTCTTCAGTAAACATCTCTAAAAACATTTTAAACCACTGGTTTTTCAGTGCAGATGACTTGTGTTATTACCGTCACTTTTGTTCTTCCTTTCTCTTTTATTGTAGACTGTTTTAGCTCACATATTGTATCTTGCTCTACTTTAGACATAATCTCTGTGAAAGGGATCTTCTGTGTTAAAATATAGTGCCTGATAGCTTGGGATCCTTTGCCTGGGCCATGTGATGTTACTGGAATATTAATAACACTAGCACTTTTTCGCTGAGATACAGTTTTATAATTACTACATTTGCAGAAGGGAGACAGACTCATGGTCTCATGATCATAGATGTTCATTTTCCACAAAAAGTTAAGCTGTGAGAGGAACGGCACAGGCTATTTCTAGGCTATATCTATTCATAAAGGAGTCTGTTCCAAAACTAATTAACTGTTGTAACACATGCCTCTCTCATTTTTGTTTTCCAAGAACATTTTTTTCAGGTGTAGTTGATGAGGAATGTGTTGATACATTTAAATAGAAGTCAGACTGCTCTGTCAGCCTGAATCTGAGAGACAGCACTAGGTGTACGCTGTTTTTCTAATAGGAAATCTCCTGTTCTCTATAAATAGACATGTTTCAGTTCTGATTGTTCTGTACTGAAATAACTGGCTAGATGTCTAATTACCCTAAATAGAAAACACGAATAATGGCAGGCATTCAAACCCTCCTGAAAAATTGTTCCTAGCAGTTAACTGTTCTACTTCATGGCCACTGGCTCAGAAACACACTACATCTGAAGGATCTTCTTCCTTTTCTTCTCTTCGGTACACTCGTATCGATCACTCTGCTCTGTCCTAAAGGCAAGTGATGCACAGCGCAGTGTATCCTTTGGAGTCAGGGATCAAATTCATCCCTGGCCAGGATGTGTAACAATAAACAAGGGAAGGAAATGAACTGCTTCTGAGAAACGGAGTTCCCTCCAGCTCCCTTTCAATTTGCACACAGCTAGGCATTGTGCTTTATATGTAATTATAATAATTATAATGATTTATTCGAAGGTGTTTACTAGTCAAAGGCATAACATCTTGCTTATCTGATAATTACATAGCTGGTGAGGTCATCGAGTAGGTTGTTAACACTGTCAATCTTTTGCGCCTAAATGAAGTATTTGCTTGTACGTTTTTTTAATGTTTCATTTATTTGCTATCCATGCCATTTTTATCTATCTGAAGGTTTTTGTTTCTTTCACAAAGGAGCACGTAGTGAATCTGTCTTGCCTAAATTTCACACGCCTTAATTATTTTGATACCATAATAGTGGTTCTCTTACTGTGAAATTGAAGGATTCTTTACAGTAACGGGTGCAGCATAACTGAAAATTCAACTTTTCAGATTTATCACGCTGCTTATAAACATTAAAAAGCTGATAGTTACTTTCATAGTCTTGGACCCATTCTGCACAATCTGTTCATTACTGTACTTAACGTAAATTGAGTGTTAAATCTCCTTAAGCAAAATCTTCGCCCTGCTTGGCATTTGCAATTGTGATTGGAATGGGAAAAAATTACATTTTGGCAAGAGAACTCAGCCAAAATAAACATCTCTGTGGGCTGTCAGTGGGACCAAATTTAAGATATAATCTAATAAAATTAAGAAGGTATCACAAATGGATAGCACAAAATGAAATAAAATGTATGTAACCTTCCCAACCTTGGGAAAAAAAACAACCAACCAGTCACTGAAATAGCTGTCCTGCAGAGAGCTTGGCCTAGTGCTCTGCCCTGCCTTGGCTGCTGTACAGCTCTGCTGGCTGCCCTTTCTGTTTGGAAGTTCTTTATTTCTAATTGTCATCCTGTCACTGAAATAGTTTACCCTTTATTGAACATATTCATGGTGTCCTCAACAGATGCAGTGATTCTGTTAATCCTTTGAGAGATGCCATCATCTCTAACTAGTTCGGATTACGAAGGCTGTATACAGAAGAAAACAAATAACCACTTCAGGGAGCTGACCAAGCTCGTTATAAGCTACACTTGCATTTCTACAGCACTTCACACACTGCAGCATGGGCAAACTCCAAGACCTATTTGTATCTTCTAATCCATAATGGTGTTTTAATTGGTGCAATTTAGTTTTGCCTCTTTTTCAAGCAGCCATCTCTGACTCCGGTGTTGCTTGTTTCCTGATGATAGAAGCCCATGGCCTCACAGGTCAGCTGCATCTCAGAAAAGTAGCATCAGAGCTATCTTAGAAGCTAGTGACTTGCTCAGTGCAATGTAACTCCCGCTTGTAAGCCAGTTCTAGATGTTGCCAATCCGATATCTAATATTTAGGA